GAAGCCTCGCCTTGCTCTGGGCATAAAAAGCAGGGGGCGGAGATGAATAGATGTGGCAACTATTCATCTTCCAGCTGGACGGACTTGGTTAGCCTGCAAGATAAACTTTTTGCCAAGGCTGCCAGCGCTCCTAATAAAGGAATCTTTTGAGTTCACGTCAGGGGGTTTGTCATTTTTGGGGAGCTGGATCAGAACTAGGGATTGGGGACTCCTGATCTAAGAAAAGTACTGAGTTAGGGTTACTGAGTTAAGCTGGGTTGAAATCTTGATGTTCTCCAAAAGTTGATACAAGAGCTTTAAGTCCCGCAGGGCAACACGAAGCAAGGACACTGAGTTAACATTTGAAGCTGTCCTACAGGATCTCGGTTGGAATCTAAAGGAGACAGACTTTAATAACAAGCAGCAATGGGTCTTCATTACACACCTTCACGAAGGTGTGGTGTAGATTAAAAGAAAAACACGACGGTTGCAAAATTCTACTTCGCCAAATTCGTTCATGGCTCAACTGTCCCCTGACTAAAAACCAGTATTTAGAACCAAAACAAATTGAAGACAACCATGCGTATATTTAAAGAAACACCTTAGGAGGATTTAGAGTTTGCAAACACCCAGAATTAATATAAATACAAATAGTATCTCGAGAGCTAAACATCTCCATGAAAAGTAAAATAACGCAATTAAAACCTAGAGTAACCCATTAGCAAACTAGGGGTAGCCCTCTGTGTACGACCACAATGAAGCCCAAAATCTCTGCTAAGCAAGAGAGTTACAGGAGTCACATTCCCATTGTGTGACCTTTCTTGGCACTGTTGTTAAATGAATTGCTACATTTGTTAAGTTAGTCCCACGGTTGTTAAATGAATCTGGCTTCCCCAGTGGCTCTGCTTTTCAGAAGGTTCCAAAAGGGGATCACATGACCTGAAACCGTCATAAATATGAGACAGTTGCCAGGATCCAAATTCTGATCTCGTGACCACGGGGGGGAATGCTGCAACGGTCGTTAAGTGTGAAAAATGGTCACAAGTCACTTTTTTCAATGCTGTTGTAACTTTGAACGGTCACCAAATGAACGGTTGTAAGTCGAGGACTACCTGTAATAGGTAGAAAACTAGAAAAAGAATACAACCCAGATGAGAACACTTAAGACCGCTGCCGCATCCCCAAGGTCACGTGATCAAAATTTGGCCGCTTGGCAACTGACTCATATTTATGATGCTTGCAGCGTTCCAGGGTCACATGGCTCCTTTTGCGACCTTCTGACCAGGAAAATCAACGGGGAAACCAGATTCACTTAACAACCGGGTTCTTAATTTAACAAGTGCAGTGATTCACTTAACGGTGGCAAGAAATGGGGCAGAACTCACTTAACAAGTGTCTTGCTTAGCAACAGCGAGTTTGGGCTCGATTGTGGTCATACGTCGAGGAATACCTGTAGATCTGAAGGACACCACCAGAGGAAAGATGGAAGATTCACATAGGGTCAAAAAGAGCTTTGGAAGGCCATCAACAAAGTCCACACCCCAAACACCCCCAAACCAAAACTGGGAGAAGAAACCAGGGTGTCATGCCCCTGTCGGAATCTGACTTGGAGGAGAAGGCTGAACAGCTGACAGGAAGTGGGAGTGTGGCTCCCTTGGCTGTGGAGGAAACTGGGGAAGGGCAAAGTCCAGCTGGGCAGAACAGGGAGGAGGTAGAACAAGGGACAGGGAGTTCAGAGGAAGACCCAGGCCCACCCCCTCGTCATCCTAGCGCATGCAGGAAATGGAGAAGGGAGCAACGTGGGTTGTGTGGCTTACAGGGGAGGAAAGGGCCCTGATTCCCTTCATTAGCTGCAGCTGGGAAGAGAGTGTATAAAAAAGGCAAGCTGTGTGCACCAAACTCTTGGGAGCAAACGTGACCTTATCTTGCATTGACATGGCTTATCTGTTCCTGGTGTCTTCCCAATTGTACTTTCAAGTTTGAATTCCTTCTCTTGCCCTGGCAAGCTAATTACTTCAGTTTGGTTTGTTTGGATTTTAAGTTACAGTTTGTGTGTACCTTGTTTTGGACTGAATTTTCTACAGTCAAAGACTGTCCCTGGGAGAGGTTTTCTCCAGCCTGAAAGTAACCTGGATATTGGAGATAATAAAATGACTCTTATTGTTTATCTGACTGTGTTGCCTTTGTGCCACGCCCCGGGTCATCACACAGGGAAGGTCAACTCCTAGTCTTGGGATGTCCCCATCAGGCATGTCAATTAGCCTGAGGTGGACCATCAAGCATCTTGGACACCTTCCAGAACCTGAAGCTTTCTTCCAAAGCTTCACCGGGTGGAACAGATCTCCCCAAATCCATCGCGGGTCACATGGAAGCATTTAAAGCTACTGGGTCCACGAGGGACTCATTTTGCTAACCCAATTTCCCAACCCAAGAGGTTCTCCTCCACTTTCAAGGCCTTCTGATGTGGTTGAAGAGCTGGCTTTGAAATGGAGATGGCCCAACAAAACCAGGGTGGTCCTTCTCATTTCTTCCAAGGATCTGCTTCTCTGTTCTCTTCCCCCCACAACCTGAAAATGTGGCCTTCAACCCCACATCCCTCGGGCTTTCCTGATGTACTGGAGCAGGGGTGTCAAACTGGATTCCTTGGAGGGCTGGATCAGTATTGTAGTTCTCCACTACGGGCCGGGGGTGGGCTGGATGCCTCCTGCAACACTCTGCCGGCCCCAAAATGGCTATTTTTCGATGTGTTTTGGGCCTGTTTTGGGCCATTTTTTGATGTTTTGGCCCATTTTTGGCCTGTTTTGGATTCATTTTTCAGCCCGTTTTTGGCCCAGTTTTTGGATGCTTTGAGCCCAATTTCAGCCCATTTTTGCCCTGTTTTGGAGCCATTTTTTAGATGTTTTGGCCCATTTTTCATCCCATTTGGGGGACATTTTGAATCTGTCGTTTGGCCCATTTTTGGCCTGTTTTGAACCCATTTTAGCCTATTTTGGGTGCATTTTCAGCCTGTTTTTCAACCTGTTTTGGGCCCATTTTCGGCCTATTTTTGACCTGTTTTGGATTCATTTTTCAGCCTGTTTTGGACCCATTTTTTCACTTATTTTGGATTCATTTTTCAAACCATTTTGGGCCCATTTTTTGGCCTGTTTTGGCTTCATTTTTCAGCCCGTTTTGGGCCCAGGTCTTGGATATTTTGGATATTTTCACCCTGTTTTTTGGCCTGTTCTGAGCCCATTTCTCTGATGTTTTGGCCCAATTTTCAGTCTATTTTTGGCCCATTTTTTAGTCCATTTATGGCATGGTTTCAGCTGGCAGGAGTGCTGCAAGAGACCATGGAGGGTGAAAACGAGGCGCAGGGGGGCTGCACGAAGCCTCTTTTGGCCACCACGGGAAAGTCCTTTGATATTTCCAATCCGGCCCCATGGGATGGATTTAAGCACCCCATGGACTGGATCCAGCCCACGGACTTTGAATTTGACACCCCTGCACTGGAGCAAGCCCCCTTCCTCCATGGAACCCAGTTTAAGTTCTCAAACCCATCCATTCATGGTTAAGGACACAGATGGGCACCGTGCTTTTTCATTCTTTAAATTAAGCAAATCTGGATTTTCTCCTTTTATCCCTGTGTAGGGAGCAATGGTGTGTTTTTCTACCTTCCAACTAAACTTCAGATTTGGGGTAGAACTATCAAATATTGTGAGGTGCTCAGAGCTTGGTTGTTTTCTTGCAGATGATTCATGACCCAACTAGAGAACATCATCAGTGCTGGGTGATGGAACATCTGCAAGAAAACTACGAACTTCAGAGAGGACCATAGACCTCACAGTCCTCCTCCTCCTCTCCGCAAACCCCACTCCTTCATAGCACTGATGATGTTACCAAGTTGGGTAATGAAATGTCTTCAAGAAAACAACCAAGCTCAGACAGCATTGAAGACCTTACAATCCTCCTCCTCCTCTTCAAAAATCCCACTCCCATTCTGGAATGGTCCTGGACAACAATTTTAAGTTACTTTTTGGGGGCGCCGTGGTAACTTTTGGACAGTCACTAAATGAACGGTTATAAGTCGGGGACTTCCTATACATTTTGGTGGGAGCAGCTGCCTACAGGAAGCATATCTTCCTGCCTCTCCTTGTGGTGTCATTTCCTTTCTCGAACAAACTGGCCAACATTTCATCCATTCAGTTGAAATTCTCTTTCCATTCTCGTATCACAAAAACTCAGAACAAGGGACACCAAATTCACTCTCCGCACTTTTATTAATGGTGAGGGAACTTACCCCTCTCCTAGAAGAATATTTAGGAAATATTAAAAGGGCAGAATATTGTATTTTCCCTAAAGGAGAAACATGTTTCTAAAGACAAAAACTCAGAACTTCAACACCCTGCCCCAGCAGATATTTGATGCCATTTGAGAAGGACTGGGCCAGTCCACCTACAAAACAAAAGATCTTCAGCTCCAGGGTGATGCGATTAAGACATGATCCTCCAGAACATTATAGGGTTATCTAAATGCAGGGCTCACTGCATTACAAAATCACCTGGGGACATTGCATCAGCCCAAGGTTCAACCAAACTTGACTCAGACAAACATGACTCCACATGACCCCATGGGAGTCTGACTACAGCCAATAGAAACATGCTCTTGCCACAGGAACAGGAAGCTCAAGGGAAAGGCCCAGGAGAAGGTATAAATAACCCTCACTCTCCGCTCCATGTGGTCAGCTGCCCAGGACTTCAAACCTATGTAGTCCTGTCCATCAATAAATCATCTTTCCTATCAGACTCCATGTTTCTAATGTCCTTCTCCCCACTTGAAACTGAACCCAGATGGATATTTCTCCCAATACCGGGAAAATCCCAAATCCATCAAAAACGACAAGCAACGGATGAATTTAACGATGGATGGAAATTGAAAACGTCTCCAGCAGAAGAAGACTGGGCTGGCGTCACAAATAAAACAGCTCCCCTCAGTTTGTGACAATCCCAACCCCATCATCCTTCAGCACTTGAGTGACTTACCAAAATTAGAACAGATTTCCAGAATGGTGTCCGATATAGCACAATGCTGTGCCAAATAATTTCATCTCCGTTCTTGGATTTCCATCCTTGGCACTTTCCCAAGTCACACTGCACCAGCCACACCTGGAAAGGAGACAGGTTGAAATTCTACATCCGCCGAACAGAATCTTCAAACAGCTCAGTCCTCAAACTTACAAGCATTTCATTTAGTGACTTTGGATTTGACGCTGGCCCTGAAAAAAAGTGACTTTATGACTGTTTTTCCCACTGTAAATGGGAAGGCTCTGTTACGATCGTACTTCAAAGATGGAAGACGAAACTTCCGATCCCAAAGACCGACCCAGATTGGATCCTATATTAAAAAAGGCCAAAAATTTTATTTCCCCAAAGGGAGAAATGGAGAAACATGCTCAAGACAAAAAGCAGACTCACACTTTCTTAATAGCCCCCAGCAGATATGTTGTGCCCATTAAGAAAGATTAAATCAGAATAGAATAACAGAGTTGGAAGGTACCCTTAAAGGTCTTCTAGTCCACCCCCCTGCTCAAACAGGAAACCCTATACCATTTCAGACGAAAGGTTGTCCAATCCCTTCTTTAAAAACTTCCAGGGTTGAAGCACTCACAACTTTCATAAAAATCATACATTGATTTTTGTGAAATCAATTTTATGATTTTTGTATTTTATGATTTTATCAATTTTATGATTTTATGAAAAATCATACATATAAAAAAAAAAATCATACATTGCAATGACTTAACTGTCAATGAATACTTCAGCTTCAACCATAACAACACAAGAGCACACAACAGATACAAACTCAAAGTTAACCGCACCAAACTTGATTGCAGAAAATACGACTTCAGCAACAGAGTGGTCAATGTTTGGAATATTCTACCTAACTCTGTGGTTTTTTCCCCAAACCCCAAAAACTTTAACCTTAGACTGTCTACTATTGACCTCACCCCTTTCCTAAGAGGTCTGTAGGGGGTGTGTATAAGTGCACCAACGTGCTTACCGTCCCTGTCCTATTTTTTCTTTTCTTTTTCTTATATGTACCCATTTCATGTATTTATAACTACGTACATACTTATACCTATTATCTTGTAAGCGATTGACAAATCAAATCAAATCAAATCAATAAATAAACAAACAAACTTCTGAAGGCAAGTTGTTCTAATGGTTAATTGTTCTAATTGTCAGGAAATTTCTTCTTAGATTGGGTCAGTCTATTCTCAAGACAGAGTGGATAAAAATCAATAATTAAAAATAATAATAATAATAAAATCTGGAAGCAAATAAATTGGATTTTTTTTATTTAAATCATTTTTTTTTAAAAAAAATATCAAATTTATTTTAATAAAATGCTTTTGGAATAAAAATCCATCTAAAGATACTTTTCTATTAGAGATACATTAATAATTTAGTTGATTCAGCATGAAATGGAGCTTAGTTATGTAGCACGAGGCTGTATATATTCTGCAGTATGATTTAAATCGAATTTATTTAAACCAAGCCTTTTTACTAGTGATTTAATTAGGACTTGATCAAATCCACTCTGTCCCAAGACAAAAGAACTTCAGCTCCAGGGTAGATGGGATAAAGGACAGGATACCGAGAAAAGTGAAAATAATACCTGTCCATTAAATAAAAGGCAGGCTAGAGGCAATAGATATAACAGGATAAAAATCAATTTACACATACCCAACAGGGTTAGGACTAAGGAAGTAATAATTAAGAGCCATCACTTTGCAAAACAAATAAAAACCAATCAAATAAGACAAGGAAGACTCGAAATATTACAGAGTTTGGGAAAATATTAGATATTAATGGATAAATAGGAATAAGAAATGTATAGATCAGAAGAAAATATAAATATGTATATGAATAATTAGGAATGTGTGGAAATGTAAAATATAAAACTACGATTTTTTAGTACTGTCAAAGAAAATTGAGATTTGTAAAAAGTTATTTTTAGATTTACTTGTATTTTAATATTTCAAACTTCAATAAAGGTTAAATTTAAAAGAAAAACCCGATCAAATAATAAAAACACACAAGGCAAGCCTCCAAATTACACAATGCTGTAAAAAAAAAACAACCTGTATAAAAATCCCAGGTAAAACCAAGCCAGTAGTCAGCTGTCCCAGAACACAAACCCTGGTGGTTCTGTCCGCCAATAAATGAACCTTCTTTCCAATCAACCTCCAGCCTCCATTTTGTTTCTAGCGTCTTTCTCCCAATTTGGAACTGAACCCAGGTGGATTTTCCTTCTAACGCAATAATAATATTCAGACTAGGAACAGGACAGGTTGAGATGCTACCCTAAAACCTATAACCGCTGGATTTTAAAAATAATCTTTCCAGGGAAGTTATTGCTCATTACCTAATTTTTTTTTTTTTAAGCCTTCCAACCGGAAAGTTTTAACAGGATGCCAAACTGACCAAGAATCCTTTGTTAGTCGGTTGGGCAAAGTGACTTGGCAGGGCGACAACTTTTTGCACAAATCTGCTATTTAACCCAGTTCCTTTTAATTTCATTTAATTTAATCAACAGAGGAAGTCCACTAAAAAATGGAAGATCTAATCTCTGCAGCCAGCTGGGTCCTTTTTCTTGTTCCTGAAAGCTAAGATTTAACTCGGCTAATTTTCCTGGGGGAAAAAATGTGTTTTTGAACCGAAGAGTTTACGATTATATCAATGGAAATATAGGTAGTCCTCGACTTACGACCACAATTCAGCCTGATATTTCTGTCTCTAAGCGAGACATTTAAGGGAGTTTTGCCCCATTTTGTGACCTTTCTTGCCGTAGTTAAGTGAATCAGTGCAGCTGTAAAGTTAGTCACATGACTCTTGAGTGAATCTGCCTTTCTCTACATTGAAGTTGGTTTGATATAGATTCAAAAAAATATCAAAGCAAATTTAATACAGGATGACTTTACTGGTTTGTTATTTTTTTGAATCCATATCAAACCAACTTTAATACATGGAAGATTTTACTGTCTGCAAGTGATCCTTGACTTAACAGAACGGTTTTTTAAAAGTGAAAAAGAATCACCGAAATAAAAGAACTTTTTTAAAAAACCTTCCTTCAGAAAGGTCAATCTTATCCGAAACGTACAATGGCTTTTTCAAAAGATATGTTTACTTGTTCGTGATCTGCAGAGACCAAAAAAGGATTTTAAGTGCCTCCTTAAATAGGAACCACAAGGATGTCACAAGGACCTTTGAGGAGCCCATTAGTTTCACTGGACTCCATGGGCAGAGAGATTTGTCCCCAGGTAACCTTCTCCCTGGCTTGAGTAGGAGTTCTAATTACTCTTTGTACAAGGAACGGCTTGTCACCTAAAAGTGGTTGCTGAAAACCGGATTTTTGTCCTGAATGAAGATTTGAGCTGAGATATTGAAGGATTGCAAGGTGAACGAGAGAGATCTTTACTACAGGCAGTCCTCGAGTTACAACTCCAAGGACTGGTTGTAAATGTTACTCATTCAGCACCGCCGTAACTGAATGGTCGCTGAAAGGAGCAGTCATTAATTGAGGACTTCCTGTATCTAGAAGCTGTGGGTGCGTCATTACTGGTGGATTTTAAGAGATTGGATAACCAATTGTCTGAAAGGGTATAGGGTCTCCTGCAAGAGCAGGGGGGTAGGCTAGAAGATCTCCAAGATCCCTTTCAACACTATTATTCTAGGTTCTATAGTAAGTAATTCTTGAGTTAAGAATTAGGTACTGGCTTAAAAGGTAACATTCTTTTTTGAAAATGATACGCAAATACAGTTAGTCCTCAGTTTACGACGGTAACTGAGCTCAACAGTTCTGCCATGAAGTGAGACATTTGTTAAGTGAGTTTTGCCCCATTTTATGACCTTCCTTGCCCTGGTTGTTATGTGAATCACTGCAGTTGATAAAGTTAGCAAACCCGGTTGTTAAGTGAACCTGGCTTTCCCATCGACTTTGGGAATCACATGACCTTGGAAAACAGCAACGGTCGTAAGTATGCACCAATTGCCAAGAATCTGAATTCTGATCACATGATCATGGGGATGTTGCAAAGGTTGTAACTGTGAAAAACGGTCGTAAGTCGCTTTTTTCAGTGCCGTTGTAACTTTGAATGGTCACTAAATGAATTTGTAAATCGAGGACTACCTGTATATATCTGTCAACTAAAAAATACTTCTTTGATCTTTTTAGATGCCAGCAGAAAGAGAGTGGGGAAAATAATGCATTTCTTAAATGCTTCAGATAACTGCTAGGCAGCCGAAGTTGTTGGCGCACAAGATTATTACTGGAGAGCATGTTTGAACACTCTTGGCTATGGATGTGTCCCATTGGAGAATATACTTCCAGGAGGTGGGGAGAAGACCAGGGTCAAGGAGGAAATGAATGATGTATTTTAGTGTTGGCTGCACCCAGGTAACGCCGACATGTTCACTCCTAATAAATCTTTTTTTTTACTCGGAGAGATGTGGCTAGAGACTTATGATTTGAATGGGCATGTATTATTGGAGCCCTGATCTTTGTGTTCTTCCTGACAACAGCAGTAAATTATCAGAGGTTATCATGGAATGCCAGGCTGATCAGCTGACTTAGTTGATTATGGGAACACTGTAGGTGTAATATAGCTCGATTTTAGCCAGGCATCTTAAGATATTCTGAACAACAAGTTATTTAAATGTGGGTTGGATAGGATGATGTTTAAGATGAGGCACAGTAGATAAAAACACACCTAAGGAGTAGTCATTAATACTTCCTGATTGAAATACAGTGAGAGAATTTGGATTTGTGGGATCCTGTCCTTGGCTGTTTTCTCGCAGATGTTTCATTACCAAATTATGTACTCGGTGCTATCAAATATTCAAATACCACATCAGCAAACATTTTCTTCTATTGCTCAATTTGGATACCTGCAACTTATTAGATGATTGGCTTGATGCTCTAAAAGAGTTCTTCCAACTGTATGATAATATACTCAGCAAAGCAATAGTTATTTTTCTAATGCCATCACTGATTAAAAAGAAAAAAAAAGGGTATAAAAGACCCCATCAAATTTGACACCTCATTCCAAAGTGGGAAAATAACCCCAAGACTAGTCTGATTCATGAATCATCCAATGACAGTT